GATCCGGCAAGTAATGTCGTGTTGTGCGGAACTGAAATTATAGTGCCGGATACCGTTATCGTTCTATCGTTCATCGTATCGTATAGGGTTGCATTGCTCAACCCACTATCGCTATTATTTAAAGAGGATTCGGTGGGGGTGATCCGGCAAGTAATGTCGTGTTGTGCGGATCTGAAATTATAGTGCCGGATACCGCTATCGTTCTATCGTTTATAGTATCGTTTAGGGTTGCATTGCTCAACCCACTATCGCTATTATTTAGAAGAGGATTCGGTCGTGGTGATTCGGCGAGTGAAGTCGTGTTCTGAGGTTCAGGAGGAGTCCTGAAATCTTAGTGCCGATTACCGTTACCTATCGTTTTTCGTACCGTTTAGGGTTGTGTAACTCAACCAAGTATCGTTGGTGAACCTCTTAACTCCAGAGGATATCGTTTGAGGCCTTCTCAAAGTAATTATCGTTAATTTTTTTTTTGCGTCGCCATATTGGAATTGAGAGATTTTCCAAAATCTAAGTCAAGAAAGACGCTGAATTTCGCTTTCCGAACAACTCCAGATCGCTGCTATCAACTTCCCGTGGCAGATCGCAGTTGCTTCGCCTGTGAGAACGTTGCTAGTTCACCAGCTACAGACGTCCTTGGATCTACAACCAGCTAAGTCCTTTATCGTTCTTATCGCCTTAGAACTATCGTAAAATTCTAGTTTCGCTTTAATTGAAATTTCTAATTCTATCTCTTTGCGTACAATTAGATAAGTTTTTTTTTACATCTTAAAGCGCCAATCAGTACTGAGTGGTCAAAATAATATTTAACAACATCCTTAAGGACCGTCATGTTATAACAGCACGTGTTAGCGCTATTTTGTACATTCGTTATATCATAATTCCATCTTATTCCATATTATTTCTCCACATTGTAATTTTCCATGTTAAGTTTTTTTAGTTTTTTTATCGCTTCAATATCTTAGGCTTATCACTATCGCTTACTATCAGCATTAGTAAGAATTGTTTTTATATATGCTTTCAACTTTATAAATTTCACTTAGAATTTAACTTTATTTTGTATAATATTCATCTAAGTTACTTCAGTTAATTTAATTAAGGTTACTAACTTTATTAATTTTAAGCTGCTTCGCAAATTCTATAATTTTTTACAACTTTTGCACAATAATTAATTCTTATAATTCTTTCATTTTTTTGTAATAATTTTATAATTACTTTGAAGTTATTAACGACCTACAGGAGAACCATTGGGGTTAGCTAGTTCATAGATAATGGGCGAGATCTTCTTAACGACAATGCTCAAGACAAAGCGAGGTGCCAGTTTGGCTGAAAAATACTGAGCTGCGTCCGATAAGACTTTATTTCTGCGCCACACTTTATCACCTACTACAAAAGAAACGTCGCGTTTACGCAAATTGTACCTAGTCGCATTCCTTAAATATGACTTATGCAAGCGTTGCTTGACCTCAACAAATATATCTTTAAGTTTTGACATGTCGTCAGCATAACACTCACGGTCACCAGGAAACAGAGCGATATCAGAGGTACTGGAAACTTCACCGTAATATTTGCCACTAACTGGAACGTGTCTGGCGAAATTCAAAAAAGCTGGCGAAAAACCTGTAACTTCATGACGCGAAGTATTTATGGCTTGTTGTATTTTTGACAACTCCTTATCCCACTCTCTGTGTTTTTTTATATAACTTCTAACGGCGTTTCCAACAGTAATAATAATGTATATTCGTGCCCAAACTGTACAGTTTTTACATTCGTCAGAAAATAACAAACTAACACAACTTATATAAACATAAACACAAAAAAACATATACAAAAATTATTACAATCAATGTCGATTTAAATACTCGTCATAATCATAGTAAACACCGTTTATCAAGAGTTGTTTAACTACCTTCTTAAATTTGACAAGATTGAGATTTTTTATATCAGCCGGCAAACAGTTATAAAATTTTATACCAAAGTATCTGTGAGCTGTCTGCGTTCTCGTTAGGCGAATACTCTTCAAACACAGTTTATCCCTAGTCCTAGTATTATATGCATGGAAATCCCCAAATTTGTCAAAGATATGGATATTTTGTTTTATATAGAGTAAACATTCATAAATAAATAGTGCCGGAAATGTCAAAATATTTAATTCCCTAAAAGCAGGGCGGCAATCAGCTCGATATGGTAGACCGGCAACTATCCGAATTGCTCTCCTTTGAATGGAGAATAGATAATGCCTGCAAGATGCGTGACCCCATATTAAGATTCCATATCGCAGGAAGCATTGAATGAGGGAACCAAAAGCGATTTTTAGAACTTCTTGTGATACTTGATTCGCAAGGCTTCTAAGCATAAATGTATTTTTGCTAAGTTGTTTCGCTAATATGACACCATGTTCTTTCCAAAGCAATTTGTCATCAATCGTGATTCCCAAGAATCTCGTAGTTGTTTGAATATTTGGTAAGAGTGTTAGATTAGCTAGATTTGGTGACTTTTTTAGGGAAAACAACATGTTGACACTTTTCCCCTCATGCAGTGCAAGCCCGTTACTACAAAGCCAGTCAGAAGCCTTTGATATCGCTCTCTGATTTCTGGTCAGGATTTCATAGCAGTTTTTGTCGGTAGTACTGATTGTTGTATCATCTGCAAATAGAATTACATTATTTTCGTTTAGTTCTATGGGAAAGTCATTAAAGAATATTAGAAATAACAAAGGTCCCAGTACCGACCCCTGGGGAACCCCACGGCTGACAGGAAGATCAGACGATGTTGTTCCTTTAAGGCTAACTCTCTGAAAGCGTTCAGTTAAGAAAGAACTGATAATTCTGCAACTATCTGGATGGATGTTATATACGTATAATTTACGAATAAGAGTCTCATGTGATACAAGATCAAAAGCTTTCGTTAAGTCCAGGTATGTTGCAATGCAGTAATTACCACTTTCAAAAACTTCCGAAATTTGATCTATAAAACTTAGTAATGCGTCAGATGTTGAGCACCCTTTACGGAATCCAAATTGGTTTTTAACTAAGATTTTGTTGTCTTCAAAAAATTTCGTTAATTGTATACATAACACTTTCTCTAAAATTTTCGAAAAGACAGGTAATAGGGATATAGGTCTATAGTTACTCTTGTCATTTATTTCACCTTTTTTGAACACTGGTATGACAATCCCTGTTTTCAAACATTTAGGAAAAGTTTTGTTTTGTATGCATAGATTTATTAATTTGGTGAGTGGCGTAATGATGACATCTTTCACATTTTTTATTAATTCCATGCTGAAGCCATATATGTCTCTAGATTTACTCGACTTTAAATTTGTAATAACATCTCGCACACAGCTCTCAGAAACTTCAGTAAAACGAAAATACATGGTAACATTATTACAAACATTATTATTATTACACATCAATCCTATAGGATCATATTTGGGGTCAGGTACATTTTCTAGTATATCATTGGCGATATTATTAAAATAATTGTTAAAAACATCAGGTGAGATATCGCTGTCCAAATTTTTATAATTATTTTTATTTCGTTTACTGTTTATTACGTCCCACATAGCCTTGGACTTATTTACTGCAGTACCTATATATTTATTATTCGCCTCATGTTTTGCTTTCTCTATGCTTTTGCGATACATATTTCTATACAATGTTTTATATTCTTTAATTAAATTATTTTTTGTACATATGTACAAATCGTCCAGAAATAACAAATTACTTCGCATGATTTGTAACTCATAGTTAAACCACTTAACCTTAGCTCGGTTATCACAATTATTATTACCTTTGAGTATGTTTTTTTTTGGAAAACATATTATATATTCAGCATAGATTACATCAATAAATTTTTTAAATTTGCTATTAATATTTATATTATCTAGAGTTATAAAGGTCCAGTCTAACTTCTTTAGGTTATTAAAAAACATAGTTTTACCCAAGCCTGTAAAAGGGCGAAACGATTTAGAAACTTTTTTACTTTTGTTTAATAAGTTTGTCTCAGTTATAATTTGTAGACTAAGAGCGCTATGGTCAGATATACCTGTATTAAGATTAGTAACCCTAACTAGTGACATATCTAGATTTGTGAAAATGTTATCTAAGCCATTTCCTAATCTAGTAGGAAAATTAACATGCGGCCTTAAGCCGTGACTAAGCAGCAAGTTAGTTAAGTTACGAGTATCTTCATTTGGTACAGTAAATGATGAGTTAAAGTCACCACCAATAAGTAAACTTTTCCTATTGTCATATAATAAATCCAACACTTGATTCAAAATTATCAGGAAATCAGAGTGCTTACCAGAGGGAGTAAGGTTAGTACGTTCGGTAGGGTTACATTGAGGATGGTACCTTGCGTTAAACCATATCTTTTGAACTTGGTACTCCTCGGCTAATGACTTAAAAACTCTACCGGCAAATTGGGTACCATTATCGCAAATAATGAACTGAGGTACGCCAAAAATAAGGAACACTTGTTGTTCAACAAGCTTTACGATATGTGCTGCTTTCGGATGTTTGAGGGGAAAAAGAAGTACATATTTAGTAAACCAATCGGTAACAACAAGAAGATTGGTGTTGCCTTGCATAGAACGCGGTAACGGACCTAAAATATCCATCGAGATAATTTGGAAAAGAAACTTGACGTTCTTTTCTGAACCCATAAGACCGATGCGAGACTTGCCAGGGATTTTTATCTACCTTAGACACCATGGAGAGGTACCAATGGTCGTCGTTTGATGGCGAAACGTCAATTATTGAGATCTCGGGTGGAAGTGAGCGAGATAATGCATCCGGAACTACGTGATTTTTGCCCTTTCGGTGAATGAGTTCAAAATTATGTTGCTGTAGCTTAACAGACCACCTGGCTAATCTACCGGCGGGATCTTTAAGTCGATTAAGCCATAGCAGAGACATATTTTTGTTGTAGTCGTGGACGGCGAGGTGGACGTCCCTCAGGTCGCTCTGGGAGCCAATCGCCGACGATAGAGGTGTCGGATAGGGAGTCGGAGGGGACGAGGTCCAGGTCGTCGACGATTGGCTCCCAGAGCGACCTGAGGGACGTCCACCTCGCCGTCCACGACTACAACAAAAATTCGGTGTCGCCGGATAGGAGCGTGACCACGCCGGCCAAAACCCCGAAGTCGCCTATGATGGATATCTTCTTAAAAGTAGGCATCAGCCCCAAGTCGGTTCCTTCCGAAGACGGCTCGCCGAAACTCGACTCGGGTTCCTGGCGACAAGCCATCTTCAAACGGGTCATCACCCCCAACAAGAACGAAAAACCCTCAGAAACCAAGAAACGAACCAACGAAGAGCTGCGCGAATTATGGAAGAAGTCCATCTGCCAGGCCATCCTCCTCGTACGAATGGAGAAAGAAAACGCCCGCCTCAAAGCCGAACAGGAGGAATCGGCCGTCAAACGAATCAAACTGGAGTACGACGAAATGAAACCGTCGCAGAAGGACGTGGTGGAGGTCTGGGAGATGCTCACCAACAAAGAAACGCGATTGAAGCTGGACAGCCAGATTTGTTGAACGCAATTAGACAAGGTGTTCCAAGGGGCAAACGTGGTGAAGTGTGGCAATTCCTCGCCGAACAGTACAACATGAAGTACGCCCCTATTAATACCGCCAACTTCCCCAACTACAACGCCCCTTACGACAAACTCCTGAAATAGCTCACGTCGCACCAGCACGCCATTTTGATTGACTTAGGGCGGACTTTTCCCAATCACTCGTATTTTAGTAGTCCGTTGGGGCCCGGCCAGCTCGCCCTTTTCAACCTACTTAAAGCCTATTCGCTCCTGGATTCGGAGATGGGCTACTGCCAAGGTTTGAGCTTCGTCGCTGGGGTCCTCCTCTTACACATGGAAGAATCACAAGCCTTCTTGCTACTCAAGCACCTTGTGTTTAGACGGGACATGCGCTTGCAGTATTTGCCCGACGTGGTGGGTTTGCAAGTCAAACTATACCAACTGTCGCGCCTCCTCCACGACCAACTCCCCGATCTCTACAACCACTTCGACCTCTACGAGGTGGCACCCACTTTATACGCAGCCCCGTGGCTACTGATTATCTTCGCCTCCCAGTTCCCGCTAGGCTTCGTCACGAGGGTCTTCGATTTGATCTTCCTCGAAAGCCCCGCGAGTACGACTACTAACGCACCACCTCTGAGTAGCCTGCAAGGTCCTCCAAAAAGTTAATTTTTATTCGATACATATGAAATCTATTTTATTTATTAAACAAATATAAATCACGAAAAAAAATAAAAGTCACCAAATTGACATATTTTTCGCACATTTTTGTGGAGTTGTTCGGAAAGCGAAACTCTATTATACTTTCTTTTAGGCCCTTTTCTCTTTTCAGTTGTCTTTTATGGTGTTCAAGACAGATGTTAAGTACCCAAGCATTTGTGTGGCCCTGTAAAATACGCCCCACACACCGGCAAGTAAAAGTAGCATGCTACAAATGAAATGATATTTCTTAAAAAAATTAAAATGTTCGGGTATTTTTGTCTGTAATATTGTAGGCAGCCATGTAAAAACAGACATTTACCTGACCTTCTATGATGTACCAAAATTTTTTAATGGAAATAATTTTAATTTTTTAAAGCACAAATTAATGATTTACTGCAAAAAGTGGTAGTGGGTTTTCACCCTAGCGAAAGTTAACATGGGGTCTAAAATTTAACATGGGAATCCCTATGGCTACTTTTAAAAAGACGTACTGTATATTATACATTATTAAAATAGAGTTGCGCTGACATTTCTTTTAAATTTGGTAGCAATTGTACTAAAGAAATCTACAGACATATAAACACTATTTACATTTCTAACGCATCTACACAATGGAGAATTTTGTCCATAAAAAGTTTTGTGGTAATCTATCTCTAAAAATACGTGTTCCCTAACAATATATTGCGGTCAGAGTACCGTTAACATTAAGATTAATAATTAAATAATTGTAAAATCGCTGGACAGTTTACGAGGGCTGTCCGGCGGAAAGTGAGCCTAGGGTCGAAAGACTGACTTTTAAAATCTATTATATTTTTAACTTTGCAACATAATCTCTATCTATTTCAATACATTTGTCACATCGACCGTGCAATTGTTTTATTCCGCGAAAAAAATATTCCGAAACTTGGTCTGCAAAATACTCATCTACAGCTGACTTCATTTCGTTTTCATCGAAAAATCTCCTACCACGTAACGCCTTTTTTAAATCTTTAAACAAATAAAAATCGCTGGTAGCCAGATCTGGACTGTAGGGTGGATGATTAATTTCCTCGAAGCCCATATCTCGTACAGCAGGCCTTGCAACTTGAACTGGCGCATTGTTCTGCAATAGGAGAATTCCTCGGCTAAATTTGCCCCTGCGTTTTTCAATAATAGCTTGTCGCAGTTTGATTATTAAGTCAGCATAATATTGACTGTTCATCGTTCTTCCTTTTGGAATATAATTCACCAGAAATATTCCTGCGCTATCCCAGAATATCGTTGCCATAATTTTGATTGCCATCCTTTGAACCTTAAACTTGCGCGGTGGCTTTTCTCCCTTTTTTATCCGTTGCATAGACTCTTGTTTGGATTCTGGATCGTACTGATAAATCCATGTTTCATCACCGGTTACAATGCGATGACAAATCACATCCAAATCATTCTCACATAAATGAAGACAATCATGAGAACTTTCCACCCTCCGTTCCCGCGCGCTCACCTTGCTCATTAACAAATGATTATGAAGAATTTGTCCAATACCATCTTTACTAATCTTCAATTCCTCTGCTATCTGACGAACTCGAATTCGACGGTCTTCGAGAACTAATTGTTCTACTTTTTTGATATTTTTGTCGGTAACGACAGTCCAAGTGGGTTCTGGGTGTTCATCGTCTTTAATTAACTTTCGTCCATCTTTGAACAGTCGAGTCCACCTTTTGACTGTTGCAGATGATGGAGCACATTGTGGATAAGTGGCCAATAATTCTTCATTAATTTCTTTGGCACATTTACCTTTTTTTACAAGGTATTTTATCACAGCACGATATTCCAATTTCCAAAAAGACAACGTTTCACTAGACATGTTGTGGTTTGTTTGACGTTTTTTCAATAACCGTTACATCAATCATAACCAGATTTGAGACATCAACTACTAACATTATGTGTGTATACATACAGTCGAAGTTTTTTTTTTAAACATCCATCTTCTAGACGAGGCTCAATTTCCGCCGGACAACCCTCGTAACTTACCAGTCAGAACTTTCTGAACAAAACAAATATCAAAATATTTCCTCCTTATTTCTAATGTAGGCAAGCCTAAGTACGCTAAGATATCCTTATATACATTATTGCTATAATATATATTGCATTTAAAACATATTAATTTTATCCATTTTCGCTATATTTTTTCTGTTCTATCTATATAGTTCTGAAAATATGGACACCACCAAATCACCGTACAATATTCTAATATGGGTCTAACTAAACAAACATATAGAACTGGCAAAGCTCTTGTATCCCTAAAGTCATTTACCAATCTTTTTAAAAAACCTATCATACGATTAGCTTTATTGCATACCGATTCAATGTGCAAATGGAATGTTAATTTGGTGTGAAGAATAACACCTAAATCTCTGATGCTATCCACGGCCTCCAGAGTCATATTATTAATAAAATAACTAGGAGGATCACACTCAGATTTCCTGCTGTATCTTAATGTCTTTATTGAGGTCCAGTATAAATATACAACACAATTCTATTAGTCTATTCAAATCATCTTGAATGGATCTATCATCGTATGATGTCTCAAAACAATTAAAAATATTTAGGTCATCCGCAAAGAGTAGAAATTTAGATTTACTTTTCTTGTCAACAGATAAGGAAGTGAATAATTCATTTGGTTAAATAAGGGCAAAGATTTTGAGCCGAATACAAAATAAATGTCAATTCTTCAGTGTTGTTAGTTGCAGATTGGCTTGATTCCTTGAATGGAAGTTTTCCTATCTAAAGCATCAAACGTGAATAATGGGTTCGCACAAGCCGATTGTGCAATCGCAGAATTCTTAAACCAGACGTTCCCCGAGATGAATAAAATTTTATCGACCCCGCACTGATTTATTGAAAATCTAATAAAACTATTAATTAAATAGTTTACATACTTAATAGAAATTTAAAAAACCTCTCAGGTTACGAAATTTATAGAAAAAAATTCTAATCTTAATTATGTGAAAACGTTATACCTACGCTAGATATAATGCATGAAAATACCAAGAAAATATGCAATTCGCACTGAACTAATATACCGCGCCGTCAGCCAGAACTAATTGAAACTAACTGATTTATTGAATGACCATTTGTGTTGTATTGCTTAAATTATTTTTTCTACTCATTAAGGTTGAAGTTTGTCATTTTCCCATCGCTGGCAGTGGATGAAATTTCATTTCACCCTCTAGTGGAAAAATACTCGGCCGTCTACGATTTTAACGGGTCGTCCAGCCTGAGCGTTTCGCAGCTAGCGAAACGTGTCGCGTATCGCCTGCACCGACCGCACCGTCCGCTTCGCGCGCTTCGAAAATCATGACGCCTAGGCTGGACGACCCGTTAGTGTTTGACGTTTAATACTGCTAGTTATTTCCTAATTTCTTAGAAAAAATAGTATATGCAACTCGCGGATGAAGAAATTTCAACGGCTCGAGTTTCTTTTTCGCACTCGCTCGTTGCACTCGCTCGTGTGAAAAAATCACTCTCGCCGTTGAAATTCAACTTCATCCACTAGTTCCATAATGTACTATAGCGAAACACTAGTTCTTAGTGATTTACTTGTAAAAATATCCCCCTTTTGACGTAACAACAGTACGACGCAACGGCTAGTGTCTCCTATCAGTCCTATAACAGATAATAGAAATATGTAGAAAGTGCCATTCATTTCTCTGTTTTGACATTGGAATGGCATTTTCCAGCACGAAAAAATCATACAATAAGGGGCTCTCTTCCAATTCAATTTTTGGTGAGATTTTGTTTAAGGAATTGGTGCGACAGCCTTTATTCGCCGCTGGCTTTGTTGCCGATGCAGCCAAATCGCGCAGCTCAGGGGGCTTCTCTGGCCTATTTTTATTTGAGGTCACCTACAGTTTATGTTTTTAGTAAAATTTTGTTTGTTTTGACCTATATCGTACAAAATTTTCCATTTTCTGCCAAAAAATTGCAATAAGCGCTGACAATAAAGAATTATTCATTTGTTTAAATTGGACGCCATGACAATAGGTAGTGTCACCAACGGTAACTATTTTACCAAAAAATTCCCAAGGCTAAGATGTTTGCAGTTTTTATTGTAAAAAAGCTAAATTAATGTAAATAAGGGTCAAAACAGAGAAAATAGTATTGCAGTAATTTTAACAAGGCTTTATTCACTACGAAAAGTACACTTAACTTATAACAAAAAAAATATATAAAAAGTATGTCGCGGGAGCGCTGGCGGACTGTACTTGTTCACCCTTCAGGAGCTGGATTGCGAGAGAGCGCTTCCCCTCTTCCTCCGTCTGCTGTTGCTTCTTTTTGGCTGTTCTGCTCTTGCGCGTAGTGGTTTTGATAGCTGTATATTTGGTTGCCTAATCGCATGGTGCCTACAGTATAAAACATACGTGCAGAAGGCTATTCCAACGCGTGTTCATTCAAACACTCTCGTGTTTGAAACTTGAACTTGCGTTGGAATAGCTTGCCTTCTACACTTATGCTTTAATATACTATTCTGGGTCCATTAAAGATTGGAACCAATCCCAAAAACAAGTGGTTGCTATGGTTTTATAAATCATACACTTCAACAAACGAGTGTCACCATCAGAGGATATTCCAACATCCTTTGCTCTCTGAACCATCCATTTCCACATCTTTAAAACTTGTAATACATTAAATTTGTTGTTGGATCCAAATAAGGCCAAACAAAAAGTTGCAGCTTTTTCACATACAGTGAGGATAATTACTTGTTTCAGCACTTTCAAAATATTCTGTTATTTTCTTGCAAGAAGTGGCTGGAAAACTACCTAAAATTTATGCCAGGTAAAAATGATTGTTTCTTTTTATTGAAAATTTAGAAAAATGTCAAGTTAGAGGTCCGTGAAAATCGATAATTTCTATTTACCATCTAGAACCACGAGGTGGACTTAATTCCAGACTTCCCCAACGATGATGGGACGAACTCAAAGTTCCTT